ATGAATACAGTGAAAAGGGGGAGGGAACCCAGTTGCACCTAGGAGAGCCCTGGCATAAGGAGCCCAACAAAACACACACTGTAGCAAGGCACACAAAAGCTCATACCTTGAATAAAACTTTATTGATCTTAAAGGTGCCTTGTATTTCTCCTGTGTGATTGAAGCAGCTAAGCAAAGCAAGGCAGGAGAAAGTGGATAATGAACCTCGAACAATTAGACTGGAAAGGTTTAGTCTCCCAAATGTCTTTTATCATCCCTAACTGTAATTAGTGCTGTTTCTGAAATAGAGAGACCTCCAGTGTGACTAAACAGCTAACTTCAAAATACAGCGGATGCAGACAGGTGTGTATTATTTTTTTGACTTAGCTACATTTCTTGATTTCTTGGAAAGAAAAATACAGAAAAATAGAAGAGTTGTCTATCACATCAGTGTTAGTTTTCTGAAGTTAGCACTGTAGGGGAATTAGAGCTCTATCACATTGTAGAGGAAATTTTAATGGAAATCTTGAAGACACTCATTAATGGTCAGTCATTCCAAGGCAGGCTTTGTACCTACAGTGGAATTGTAGGAATTGCTGTTATAATCTAAGGTGACAATCCTTTGGACATCCTCATGACAGTGTGGTTGTTCAACAAATATGCCTCATTGTAGAATTTGTATCAATTATCCTTATATCTGGCTTGTCTATTGTAAATAGAAGATTTTCTTAAACTGCAGCTGTTGATGTCAAGAACATTGTCTTCTTTCTAAGTGAATAGTAGCTAGAATGCTGTGAATGCTAATGTAGTACAGATAATAAATATTGGGACAAGCTCGGATGGATGATGTTATACTTATTTTCTATGTTTTGTTACTGTTGGTTATAGGACATGACCTAGACTGTTGAGGTAGGAGGTAGACTGGCTCATGATACATAAACTACCATAAGGGTAAGGTTGGGTTTTCACCTGACCAGACCAATGAGAACCATGACACATTGTGAATAATTTGGTAGTAGAATGAGGTGTTACAACTGTAGACTATATCAGTTCATATTGCAAGTACATCTGTAAATAACTCCCTTCATGAAGAAGAAGAAGAAGAAGAGATGCTTTTTATACCTTCCTTTTCTCTACCACAAGAAATCTCAAAGTAGCTTACAATCTCCTTCCCTTCCTCTCCTCCCCAAGGTAACCCAGAAGGCTTCATGTGGAGGAGTGGGGAATCAAACCCAGTTCTTCAGATTAGAGTCCTCCACTCTTAACCACTACAGCACACTGACTATAGTAAATTATCATACCTAGGAGCAGGGCTATTTTTGGGCAGGAACGCACAGGAATTGAGTTCCAGCTGGCTTCAGAGTTGGCCACGCCCACTACAGCCAAAACCTCTGTGTGTGTGGCTACAGAGGGAAGGCCTAGAGAGAGATCCCCCTGGTGACTCCAAGGCGGGCAAGCCAGGAGGGGCCTGGAAGGATCAGGGGAGCATTTAAATGCCTCCCTGTGCCTTCCCCGGCCTGTCCAAGGGCCAGCTTGCCCGGGTTCCCCGCAGCTACGGGGCCCCCGAGCAAGCCAAGGGAAGGCAGTTTAGACTGCCTTCCCCCTAAGGGCCAGATATGCTAATGCTAATGAGTTTCTAATATGCTAATGAGTTTCTGTTATTAGTTGTGGCCTATTATGCTAATGAGTTACTGCTGGGCTTTTTCTACAAAAAAAAGCCCTGCCTAGAAGAGGTGTTTAGTACAGCTGTCAGTGACATGTAAGGAGGTATTTAACAGAATTCAAAAATATGACCACCCTACCACACTCACATGCAGTCTGAAGTGGAACCATCCAGAATTCTACAACCTCATTCACTTCAGAGAACAGCTCTAAAATGTTTTGGCTGGGTTAGCTAAGCTCCTTCATTTATTGCAGTTAATAACAAGCGTGTTCTCATTTTGTTAACTATCTGTGTTCAGAGAACACTAATTTCTTTCCATGCTTTTCCCTTCCAGAGAGTCCCTCTCTGAGGAAAGCCCTTAGGGATGCAAAGCTGTGATTTTACATAGTTTTGCACCCTCCGGGTTTTGTTTTGTTTTAAATTGCCAGTTACCATCAAGATGATAGTGTGAGGAAACATTCTATTTTAGCTGGCTTATTTACATCTAGCGAAGTCCGAACAGTTGTTTCCTTGCCATCAGGAGCCTCATTATAATAACATTTTAGAACCAATGAACTATTCTGTGTATGTGGTGTAACCAGGAGGCCTCTGTTAGTGTTTTTCCCTGTTTGGGTTGTCTCTGGTTGCCTTCCAGTGTCATGTGCTCTTTTTGCATGTGTTTGCTCACACTTTCTTCTGCTGGAACAATAGGCCATTGTTTACTTCCCCATGATTGCCAAGATAAGATTAAAAAGGTGAGAGCACTGTGTCCACTAAGTAAGCACACATTATCACAAGTGTGAGCAGCTTATACACCAATGTGTGCTGCTGTTAAAGGCATAGCTATGCTTCATATTATGTGAATGGTTGTAGAAAATCTTTTAAGTATTTTAACATACAGTATTTTAATGTATTTATCCCTGATAGAATTTTGCCAAATCTATGGCTGGGAAGCTGCCCTCGTCAAGTGGAGCATGTGACTGTGAAGCTAAAACATGAGTTGGGTATTACAGCTATAATGAACTTCCAGACCGAATGGGATATTGTTCAGAATTCCTGGGGATGTAACCGCTATCCAGAACCTATGACCCCAGAGGTTCTCATGAAGCTGTACAAAGAAGAAGGCCTTGCTTATGTCTGGATGCCAACACCAGACATGAGTACAGAAGGTAATGTTTAGATTTTACCTTCAGCAGAATATGCTGAAGAAAGAAAGATCTTTCATGAATATAGCTGCATTGTGTGAACAATTGGTTTTAACTTTCATGTAAGTTATTGTTAATGTTTTGCTCCTTGGCTCTGCCTTGATCCTGAGTGTCTTATCTTTAGTTGATTTTGCCTTGCTCTGCATCTCTGTGAATCATGGCTAATCTGTTTGCTTGTCCCTTGCCTGTTTGCCCTTAGTTTTCTTCACATCCTCTTATACCACATTTGAAAATCCACTTCATTTTGGAACATTATTCTAGTGAGCCTGGCTTGTTTTCTAAAACTAAGTTCCTCTGGTCACTATTAACCCTAACTAAGATGTACTAAACACATACATTTTAAAAGCTTATCTGGTCTTTCTAAAATCAGAACTGATAAGGTATAGACCACCTCCAATGGAGTTTCTTTTATCAAAAGTAATTCTTTCATAGATATTTGATTAGACAGGCAAGAGACAGATGGAGAGTAACAAATGTTTACTTAACAGAAATGAAGTATTTAACAAGGTAAGGCTATTGTGTGGAAATGCTTCAGTAGATATAGTGAACTGCTTCTCAACTTAGCTCCCATAGGTTACAGTCTTTCCCCAACAAAAGTAACCACCTCACAGCTGAGCCTCAGTTAACATAAATAAATCCTGAGTAGAGGCTTGATTCCCCTTTCTCCAGACAGATTGCCTCAGCTTACAAGGTTTCACTAGGACCTAGTTTCATAACAGACAGGATCCTTTCTAGGTTCAAGATTGCTGTTTTAATACAACACGCTCCTGTCCACAGAACCTGTGCATGTAAGGTAAGAATGCTGGGCCCTTACCAGGTTGCTTATATGTCTCACTAAAACGAGTTTTCTTCCCTAAGCTGAGCCCAAACCCTAACTAAAAGCCAAAGAAAAACCCAGCTAAACTGATGCTCTTATCGAGAGCCACCAAAATCCCTTGTCTGAGGAATTTGTTTTCCTCCCCCCTCACAACCTACCATGGAGTTCCGTGGGCTCTGATTGACTGATAACCACTTGGATTTGTATGAGACAAAAATCACAAGGATTGGTTCAGAACCCTGAAGGAGAGGTGGGACTTTTGGGGATGACTCCCACAACCCACTTCCCCCTGGTTATCTTTCTCCTCCTTGTTGCTGTAGTCTTTCATTATAAAAAAAGTTGGTTCAGTATTATATACAACTGATTGCTGCTTTTAAGCTTGAATCCTGTATCTTCTTTCTGCTTGCGCTCCTCTTCTTCCATTGAAGAGGCAGTGAAAATCCTTGTGTTGTGGTGGCAACTGGTTATCAAAGCAACTTTAAAAAATCTGCACAGCCAATCAGAAGCTGTGCTGACTTGGCTGGTAGCCACTGAGGCGATAAGCTAGAAGCTGAAGACACGAGCCAGAATCAAGGTCAGTGAGAAAGCCAAAGGTCTGATAGCCGTGAAGTCATTTCAAGAATGCAGGTTTCCAAAGGCAAGGAGCGACTGCTGCACACTCAGAAGCAGGTCTGATTTTGCAGAGTTGTTGCCACGCTGGAGCAGGTGCGCCAAGGGGTTTTAAACAGATCCTCCCTCCCTTTGGAGTTGAGTCTGCAGAGGCTTACAACTCTCTTTGACGTTGCTGGAGCTGCAGCCTGGCACTTCTTATTCCTGCAAAATCAGCATCTGCCATGCCCTATGTCTGGGGCACTCAGGGGAACTAGGCGGGGAGTCTAGCCTTGGGGTGTCTGCAGCTGGGGTTGCTGGCCCTGGCTCAGGAATGTTCTCTCCTTCTGGCTGCACCTCTTGTGCAGCTGCTGGGGACTCTTCCTCCTCAGGTACTGCTAAGGGTTCTTCCTCTGGGCTGTCCCTAGAGGAGGCTGAGTTGTTCCCTGCCTCTTCCTCATCTGAGGAGGAGTCAGCCTCAGCCGTACCCGTACCCATGACAGAAGCCCTGCTGGGCAAAAGCCCCACATAGGCCCTCCCATTTTCTAAAAACACTTGTTGGGTACCAGGAAAGCTGTTGGCAGGCACCATGCTGGTGATCCCTGTTCTAGGTACTTCTATTCATGCAAGACCAATGTCTTTTAAGAAGCTAGAAAGTGTCTTGTACCAAATGGAATGCACTTCACAGCATAAGAACACCTCTGCAATGGAAAGAATGTATCATATCGAGGGGAGGGGCTGCAGCGTGGTGCTACAGTCACAACCGAGGTTTGCTCCTCGGCCCCGCCGGCATCACTGCTCTTTTCAATGGGTCTCAGGGGCTCCCAAGGCTCCCCTGTCCCCCCGGGAAGGGGGTGCAGGGCAAGGGGCTTGATCTGGGCTCCTCGTACAGTGGCTGCATATGGGTAGTAGCCCTGGATCACCTCCAGCACGAAGTGGCTCGAAGAACACTCACGGCGACATGGGCTTTTAGCTGTCGCTTTCCAATAAGGGTTTTTTTTAAAAAAAACAGCAACATCAAAAAAAGCTTCAAAGATCATGACTTTCCAGGTACGTACAAGGAGACAAATGAGAGACAAACAGGATTCAGAATCACAGACTCAACCTCAAGATGGATAGAAGGAAGATATAAAGATAATCTCAGTAAACTTTAATGGACTAAATGCTCCCCAGAAAAGAAGACGGTTTTTTCAACAATTAAAAAAAAAAACAATTCTGATATTATATGTCTCCCATATTAAACCTGCAGACCAAAAGCATCTTCAAGTTAGAAAATTTGGGGAAACTTTTATTGCATCAGACAAGGACAAAAAGAAAAGAGGTGTAGTGACGTATGTAAAAGAACATCTTCAACCAGGGATGATATATGCCTCAGAAGATGGATGAATTCTATTGGTTCAAATACAAATACAAGAAGACCCTTCTCTTAAATATTTATACCAAATCAACACCAAATCAACACCAAGAGAAATTCTACAAATCCTTACAAGAATTGATTTCTAAACAGGACTATGATGAACTTTGTATGATTGGAAACTTTAATGCAGTTTTTGATAGGACATCAGATAGAAAGCTGACGAAAGGAAAGCGGAAACAAGGAAATGAGTTACCTCCAACATTCTACCAACTAGTTGAAGAATATAACTGTGTGGATGCATGGAAATTGAGAAATCTACAGAAACAAGACCTTTGATTTGGCAAGACATATGATTTGGCAAGACATATGTCCTGGTCAAGAATAAGATATGTGTTGGATCTCATCTACAATGACAAATGATGTATTAGAAGCAGAAATTCTGCCAGCAACTTTTGCTGACCACAACCCAATTGCTCTCGAATTACAAGATACTCCTACATGAAGCAGATGGACTCTGAATACTGCAATTTTAAAGAATGAAAGATTTTTTAAAGAATCCAACAAAGAATTTCCGTTCTTTTTTGAAACTAATATTCTTCCTGGAATCTCTATAAACATGGTATGGGACGCTTTCAAAGCTTTTACCAGAGGATGGATGAATCAGCATATATTAAAAACCAAAGGTTAGAAAAATACTCTCAGATTCAAGATCAGATTAAAAAACAAGAAAAAATAAAGCAGGATCTTTCAAGCGAGCAGAAGAAGATTAAACTTAAACTTTTGCAACATCAAATGAACTGCTTATTAACACAGAAAATAGCAAAAAAGATAATGTATGCCAAACAAAACTATTTTGAGAATGCAAATAAACCAACCAGATGGTTATCTTATAAACTTTGTAAGGAAAAGGAAAAAAGATATATAAAAACACTCAAAAATGATATGGGAGAAGAGAGAAATAAATTGGAGGATTTGAAAAAAATTGTAGAACTATATCATATAAATTTATATAAAAAACAGAAGCACTACAAGAACAAATTAGAAACTATTTTGAAATCCACAAACCAAAAACCTTTACAGAAGAGCAGAGGAAAATATCATTAGCTAAACTGACAGAAGCTTTAAAAAAGCAACCAAAAAAGGGGGGGGGACCTCCAGCCCCAGATGGGCTTCCAGTGGAATATTATCACATTTTTGAAGATCAACTGATAAGGCCCTTAAAAGCATTATGTCAAAGCATAATAGCTGAAGGAGAAATACCAGATTCTTGGAATGAGGCTTTGATAACACTTATAAACAAACAAAACTCAGATGAAAAAGAAATAAAAACCTATAGACCTATTTCTCTTTTGAACGTGGATTATAAAATGTATGCTTCTATTTTAGTGGCAAGAATGAAAAGAGTTTTTATCACAAATGATTCACAAAGATCAAGCAGGCTTTCTCCCCAAAAGACAACTCAGAAATAATGTGAGGACGATTTTAAATGTTTTAGAATACTACGAAGTCCATCCAGAAAAACAAATGGCTTTAATTTTTTTAGATGCAGAGAAAGCCTTTGATAATGTTAGTTGGAATTTTATGCTTGAACTACTTTCACACTCCCAAGCTGGGACAGATTTTCATAAAATGTTTGAAGCAGTTTATACTAAACAACAAGCGAAGATTTCTATTAATGGAGATTTATCACAAAGTATTGAAATACAAAAGGGGACTAGACAAGGTTGCCCCTTGTCACCTCTATTGTTTATCTTTGCTCTTGAAGTCCTAAATGAATTAATTCGAGCAGATCAGCAAATGAGAGGTCTGAAGCTAAGAGGTGAAGAATACAAACTTTTAGCATTTGCAGATGATTTAGTCTTTATTTTGGAGAATCCATCTAGTTCTATAAATATATTGATATCTGCCCTGCAAAAATATGGAGAAGTGGCAGGAGTTAAAATTAATTGCAAAAAACCCAAAAAATATTGACCAAAAATATAACAAAACCTCAAGCTCTCCACTTACAAGAAATAACAGGATTTGAAATCAAGAAGAACAAATATTTAGGAATAAACATAACAAATAAATGTAGTTCTTTGATGGAAAATAACTATATGGAGCTGTTGAAAGAAATTAAGAAAGACCTGGAAAAATGGAAAACCCTTCAAATATCCTTAATGGACAGAATAGCTACTATTAAAATGAATATATTACCAAGAT